AATTATATGCATTTATGGTATAATCACTACATTTTCGTGTCAATCCATGTTCATATTTACCGCAAACAATGCGCTGTTACTTTAATTCAGCGCTTGCAGCGCAGCAAACATAGACTCGGTGCGGAAATGATCTGCACTGCTGCAGACACACCGCTACTGGAACACACTGCCGGACCGCAACCGTGTGCAGTGTGAACCTGGCATTATGTGTGTGCGCTGCGAGTGTGCATGAGCACTCAGTCTCCAGGAGAGCGCGCGAGCCAACGCGATTATCGGCCGATAGTGATCGGTAGCCGATCAATCGGAGCACCCCTAGTATAAATAATTATTTTACTGGTCCTAAGTCTCAACAAACATTATTATGGTACCATGTATATTAAATAAATGTTCTTAAGTATTCTGATAAAGAAAACACTTTAATAAACATGAGGTCCAAAAAGGGAACAATATTATGGTACTATAAAATATATAGAAAAGGTGGAAACAAAATGTACAAATTGTCAAAGATAAATATCCCTGATACATGAGATACTAAAGGGCAGTCAAATCAAAAGATCAGAGTGGTTACATTTTATAATAAAATAATTAATTAAAATGAAAATTATCAAAGTACCATAATAATCAATTTAATTCAGTTCCATAGTATAAAGGCCTGTTCACACCAAGGATGATAACTATAAAGATAACAATAAAGATATAGTTCTAAAAATCGTTCTCAATATTAAAGAATAGCAGGGTCCACACCACAGCTATAACGATAAAGACACAGAGAAACGATATCGTTGGAATCACTTTCAGAACGATTTTTTCCAGCTAAAGAAAGATACAATTATTGACACCCAATCAGAATCCATCCTGCTATAACAAGCTTGAGAATTTAAAGCGGCAGATAAGCATGCGCTTAGAATAAACAGACGATATCGGCCTCTGGTGTGGATGCTAATATTGTTATCTTTATAGTTATTGTTCTTGATGTGAACAGGGCTTAACTCAAAGCACCACGTCATTTGTAACCATCTATCGCTGTACCGTGGTACTTTTTCGTTTAGTGATGACTCTGTAAACAGAGGTTCAGGTGGTTGATCTGACAAGGGCAGCCCTTCACTGTTAACCTCAACCTACACACATAATGCCACTGCTGTCACAGCTGGAGATGGGCGCTCTTCACTGAGAGTGTGTGTGTGTGTGTTTGTGTGTTTGAATGTGCGAAAGCTTCTGCATGTGTGTAGTGTGTGAACAGTATTCTCAGAAGCCCTCTACCCCCAGCTGTCTGCTGTAGCTAATGATTGGTCCCAGGGGGGCTGTTGGGAAGAGGAGTGTAGAAATTGAAACAGACGTTCGCGTCCCTGCCACAACGTGTGTGGCAGCTGGGAGCGCCGCTCCGCCATTCATACGCAGGAGGGAGAGCAGACTCTTAAAGTCATGAATATCAATGGTGAACACGGAGTCAGTGATGAAGCATCAACTGCCAACCTGCCGTGTTTCCAGCGAGCTCATATCACTATATCTGCTTTGTAGAGACTAAACGGCACTCATGGTAAACACGGTGATCTTGGGAAAAGAAAGAGGCCTTAAGTGAGGGTTTTGTGCTACCACTTATAGAAACAGTCTAAATTTACAGATTATACTGCAGTGCATTTTTACGAATTTAATAATGTCCAGTGATAGTACATTTTCATTTATTTAGATACTATTAATAAATAATATTTAAATATTAAAATACAAAATTATTGTCGGTAGTATCTTTGATTAATAAAAATGCATTTCATTTTTTTTTTTTTAAGTTGGTGTCAAAGACAATAATTTTATATACATTTTTTTATGTATTTTAATATATTTTTAAGCAAATGTAATAATATAATTTAATTATTAAATTATATAAATAATACAATTATATACAATTATTATGGGTAGTATCTTTAATAATGAAACTAATGTTAATATATATATATATTTTTTTTGTGTGTGTGTTTGTGTATCTTGCACAAATATGTATCTATATATACTCAAAATTCACTAGTTGGTAATTTACAATTATCTATTTAAATTGAAAAGTGATTAAAATGGTGAAAAGTGCCTTGATAACACTTTCCCTTATAAATTAAAATATTAATGTATAAATTTAAACCCATAATCTTGACATTTGATTAAAGAAATTAATTTACAAAAACATTTATCAATTTACATGTATATTGTCCAGATACCACAGTAACATTATCATTAGGACGAACCTTTCTTGCACGTCTTTGATAAAGATAAAGCAACAATATTGATTGAGAATTATCGTAATTGTGTAACAAGGCTAATTGTTAAACCCTCTAATTTGTCTCTTGCCATGTGTAATTAAGCTCAAATCCCACAGTGCATTTGAGTAATCCTCCACTTCATAATTTATTCATTATCAAGCTGTTCTTATTAAATGCCTCAATCATAATTATTAACCGTGTCTTATCAATAAAACAACAAATTGCGTCGGTTTACCATATGAAGCGGTCACCGTACGGAACTGTCGCAGGGAAACCGAAGTGTTAAAGGTAGCATTAGCTAGACGCTAAAGTCATCGGTGCCTACGGCGGATCGGGGGGCTGTAGTTTATTGTCCTGTACCCCCTGCGCCGCCTCCATCTCTCTCTCTTTAAAGAGCATGCTAGCCCAGCGATCCCTCAAGGTAAACCCCCAAATTACGCCTAATGTTCTACACAGGCTAATGGTTGTTGGTGCCATTAGAATATAGGTTATTTAGCTCCGCGGGTTTCAGACACTCCCAGACCCGAGTGCTGTGGCGCGCACACACACACACATTTGCACGCGCACACTCTTATACACCCCAGGCCTGTAGAGATGAATGGAGTTTGCAACACTACAATGAGCTTTTGATGCCAAGACAATGGAGGAGGGTGCCCGCATCTGACACACTGTGTGTGCGAGTGTGTTTCTGAGGGCCGCTAACAATATGGGGTCCACTTTTCCGGGCCCCTCTGCCCCTGGGCTGGTCGGGGGGTTGTGGGTAATAGTGTCCCAAGGGCACCCAAAAATTATGTGGAAGTGTCATGAGGCTCAGAAAGATGGCCGTGGCTTCCCTACTGACACCCCCTTTTCTTACCGCGTCACAGAAAAACACTAGCGTGGAGCGGCAGGTTAATATCGCTTCTGTACCTTACGCCTAAACCCAACCTCTCGGATGCTCGTGTGGCGTCTCCCATTACAGCGCCGGTCCTCGGGCAACAGCAAATCATCATTTGTTACTCATGTGCACGTCCCCTTCTCGTCAAGCTAATAGAGGTGAAACGGAGGTGTGGTCCAGCTCTTGTTTTTCTCTGTGGTTGTGGATCTTCACTTGTACTGTAAAATGTGGTGGAAGTGGGTAACCAGGGTTACCAAAATTAAGGAAAAATCATCTGTCGTCGAACTGTAACCTGTTTAGATGATGTTTAATAACATAAGTTCATCAGTTGTGCTAGGAAGCAACAAGTTTTTGGTTTTTATTTTATTGTTGTGTGTGTGTATATGAAGAGTTCATTTGCAAAAACCGATAAACGCCACGTAAAAAAAATTACTGCCATGCGTTATTCTCCACATATAGCACGTTCTGAACCCTAAACACGTTGTCACAAAAGTCGGTATTGTCCACCGTCAAGGCATCGCGAGTTCACGTTTTACAGCAGAAACCAACAAGCGCCCTTTTTGTTTATGAACAGAACCCAAAAGGTCAATTTTAGTGAATCAGCGCGCAGTATTCAGGTCAGGTGACAAGGCTGCTAGTCACTTCGAAAAGACTCGCTAGCTGAGAGGAGTTTCGTCTGGTCGCATCTACACTGATATTAATCAGATATGTGCATTATTTGCTTCTGCAGTGTAAGCGGACAGATCGATATTCCCCTGTTAATGCGAGTTGTTATTCCCCTGTTAATGTTAAATATTTTTGAAACATCTCGCAGTACAGATATATCTATTACAAATAAAACATCTCTAGTTGACTAGCAGAGTATTTATTAATTTTGTTTGTTTGTTTAAAATAAGTGGCGATCTGCCTCTTGAATGTGTTGCTTTTAAAATGATGCTGAGTGCTCGTTGCCGCTGTTATCAATGCCGACGACTCATGCACAGACGAGCGCTTCAATCTATTGCTAACTGTTGTGGAGACTCTCTATTCGTTTTGGTGAAAATACAAAATAAAATGCACACAAACCATCACTGATGAACACATTTGTTTTAATGAGGAAAAAAACTATACAAGGGCGGATTAGAACCCCAAGTCCCACTAATTTAGCAATTACAAAGCAATTACTTGGTTTTGTTTACCTCTGAAACACGAAATGTGGAGTTATCTGCTTTTGCCAAAAAACGACTGTTGGAGTTGTCTGCTTTTGCTAAAAAAACAAACATTTAATGTATTAAAAAACATACTTTCAACCAGCTTTAAGTTTGTAAGTTACCTGTATTTTTTTAGTTATTATTACTTAATCAAAACAACCCAACTGCAGTTTGATTGATATTACTTTGGGAC